ATATGAAACAGATATTTAATAAAGTATAAAAAAGTAAAACTTAAAATGAGCTTAAGTGTCACCTATTTTTATATGATCATTAGACCTAAAAAATCTCACATGCTTTTCAGAAAAGAGTGAGTGTGATCATTTGTTATTCAAGTAAACAAGATTAACTATTAACCATCAAACTTATTTCTTGAACTAATATAAGAGGACAAATAGAAAGTTGAGTCTTTAATCTATTCAAGTAAAGCATGAAAGAAACTGAAGCTGATTTAGTAGCAGTAAATGAATTATAGACTCTTTTATAAATGAAATCGAGAATAAAGAGATGCATAATATATCTCTGCTAGATTATCCTGTTTCAAAAAACGTTTATATTCCATTATGATTCTATGGCTACTGTATAAACCTTTTCACTGCATTGCATATCAAATCTAACACTTTTTGTTCATATTATTTTCATCAGATATTAACATTTTCAATGATCCCATTGTAAAACTATTTTTCTGGGTTTAAGTAATTTGACTACATATTTCACTGTGATTCTAAAGTCCCCATGAATTGACAATTTCTTAAGCATGTTTTTTGAGATTGTTGAAATTTTTTTCTATAAGTGAAAATGTGACCAAATTGAGAATCAGAAAACTCATAAAGGTCACTGGCAGAATTATGTTCCTTAATGTTTGTATTGTTGCTAAAATTAAGTTCATGTACTATACTACTACTTGGTATAAATCCTGTATTAAGATTCTCCGCTATTATATGAATGGCTATTATGAATTTAGCATAAGTCTACTTTGAGTTTGAAAAGACTCAAGATCTGAAAAATCAAATTGTTCTCAGAAGTTTCTCTTGGACTAACCCATAAAGAATTCTAATATCGCAAATTTGATGAAGTAGAATTTTCACAGCGATTTGTAATTGAGCAGCAGTAAATTTACACCTAAAACCATTTCTGTTTTAGAATATTCAACCTGTAATTTTGGATTTTAATTCAAGAAAACAAAAATCTTTTTTGTGATTATAAAGATATTAACAGTTCTCGCACTTATATAACAAACTAATTTAGCTAATATGATTGCAGCTTTTTCCATCAATTTAGATGTCTCTATTTTGCAATCGTAATGGGAATTTCTTCAATGATCTATTAATAATGCCTTAAACTGAACAACCTCTTCTAAATAATGAGATCGAATTTTATATTGATTCACTAAAATGTAAACTTCAAGATGACGAACAAGTCATATGATGAAAATCGTTGAACCAGGAACTTCAACTTAAACTTGTGTAAATGCTTACTTAAATATCTGGATTTTTCACTTTTAAAGCTTTGATCATGGAGGAAATCCAATGATAATTGGTTTATTTAACCCATCATTAACATCCTTTACGCACGTCTCTTTGTAAACGCTTTCAGAAATTATAATATGACCTTGTTTATTAAATTCAGTTTGAGTGACACTATTACCATTCCAATCAATCATAAGAATATTTGCATATTAAGCAATCGTAGATGATATTTTATCACCATCTCTGAACACAAAAGACCAATGAAACTATCTAATGGGTACTCATATGCATGTCCTCTATAAATGAAAAAGATAAAATCATAATTCATTACTTTAAAAGAAATTGATATATATACACGGTATTATTAATATTTTTTTAGAAGAATGCTTACCAGTCAGCCCAAATAGCATGAACACCAGTACGTTCAGCAATATACCCAATTGATGAAATATTAGCATAATTATTATTAATAGAACTACTAGGTACTTTGATATATTGATCAGCCATATGAATATATTAACATTAATCTTTAAATCTTTAGGAGTAGCCATCACAGTAAACTGTATAGACCTTTCATCACCAAATGTTTAATAAGCCTATTTTCTATTAAAATTTTTGTGATTACAACGTGACATTATGTTTTTTTAAAAATTCTCTTACAAGACTTCTTGAAGCATTTATTAAATTATTCCATCTCCCCTGACAATATTATCGAAACAAAAAAATTAAAAAATTGTAGATGAGTGAAGTATATGGAGAAAAACAAGAAAATAATTGAAGATAAATAGTAAGTTACGTAGTTAGTAACTGAAAAATCAATTTGAATAACTCTTGATTAACATTTATTTAATTCAAATTATAAAACAATTTAGATCATAATCATAATTCAAATTCAAAGAATCGATTCAATAGTAGATAATATCTTAAAACAATATTTTGATTCATAATATAAATGTAACTGAGTCAGATAAAAAAAAGAAAATTTTTTTTACAATGTAAAAAAAGAGTGATTCATTTTTTAACTTTAAATTAAATTGATCAATTTACAAAAGAGTATTTTTATTATCATTAGTATTTTGGTAAAATAGTATTATAAAAAGGATAAATTATAAGTTATTTTCGACTTTTTTATTGAATCTAGACACATGTTAAAATCGAAAATCAATTAAAGAAAACCTGATTTAAAGAGTTCAAAACTTAAATAATAATAATTTCTTATGAGTATTTTCATTTGCGTGAGATTTATTGGCTAATTAATCTAGTATCGTGCAAAATATTAAGTGACTATTTGATAACGATGAGTTTCTAAATCGAGGATATAATTGCAATGTGACCTCTGAAGCAAGAAGTTAACAGGCATTCAGTATTTACTCAAATTTTTTACTAGTTTCTCTTTTTTCTTTTAATATAATTGTAAATTAATTTATCTATTTTTTTTATTATTTACTATTTTTTCAGTCATTTAATCTTGAAATTTATAATAAAAATGAGATCATTCAAGGTTATTTGCCAACACTGCTGCAACATGTGAAAAAAATTGACTGGAAGGATTTAGTTTCATTTGAAGAGGAATAATGTGCAATATTTATATGGGTAATTTTAATCTTAATTTTTTTTAAGAAAATGTATATACATATATATATAATAGAATTATTAAAATAAAAATAATAAAAATTTGAGTGGATATTGATTGAATAACTGTTAACATTTTGCTTCAGAGATCATGATGAGAAAGCGTTACCTCTTACTCCCACCCTTTGAGGAAATTGGACACATAGGTGATAAGCCACTACTATCTAGACCCACAAAGTTGATAACTAACCCACCAAGCCAACATTGAGTACCCTTATTCCAGCATATCATATTTGTATGGATCATCAGATTTGTTTACAGAGGCATTTTTCCCACAGAATTTTTTAATAAATTCACCTCGATAAAGTAACTTGTTGTCATAACAGCTATCATTATATTGCACGTTGTAAGAGTTGTACCGAAATAGCTGGCTAGGAAATCTCACGCGCACTTTATAAGATTTTATAATTATCAAAGATTTAATTCATTTAAATTTTATTTTACGGATGATCGGCATAGCCAATTACTTTTTTTTTTTTTAAAAAAATATACTTTTAGTTTTATGAAAATTTTCATTAAAACTGTGATGCGAGAGCAAAACAAAAATAAGACTAATAATAAATTTCCAATTTTATTATTAAAAATTATGTCAATAACTATTTTGAAAATAAAAATGAAAATTGCTTCTTTTCATCTCAATAGGAGATATATTTACTAGTTTACCTAAATATTTGAATTTAAAAATCAAAATGATCATTTCTCTTTGTTTTTATCATCCAAATCTGTCGCAATAATAATTTTTAAATTCTTTTTTCTATAAAAGGTATATTCGTGAATTTTAGACAAATTTGAAAAAAATCTTAATGATCATAAACTTAAGACTGACTAGAATTCTAGCGAGCCAAGCTTGCCAACCTTAACAGTTAATATCAGCAGAAAATAAAATTAACGAATGGTAAAATTCAGCAAGTTATCTCTTGACCATCATTTAATAATACTACATTAGCTGTCAAGTATTCAATTTCTAATAAATTTATAATTAAATTACAATTCCGTAATTTTAAAAACAATATAAATTTTATTTAATATAAAAAATAAGTCACAGCTTACTTGTCCCCTGCGGAGTAAATTCATAAACTTCAGTAAAAGATTTATTTCTTTGTCAACAATATACATAATAGACCAAATTAACTTTCGTTAAAAAAATTGATAAGTATCGTATAAGGTAAATAAGGTATACACTCGTAATATTTACAGAAAATATATGAAATTTATTGCAAATGTGAAGAAATTAATGTACAAGGCAGACTCTATTCAGAAACCTTCAGCAAATAAAGGAAATATTACAAGAATTTAATAATCAATGGATAATTGCAGAATTTTATCAAAAGAAAAATGCTGAAAAAAACTCTAAAAAGCTTATTAGTAGTAAATAGTGTTAAAAGAAAATAATAAATTTTAATTAATACTTTATGCCTAATTGACTTCTTGCTTTGGAAGTCATATTGCATTTATATGTCTCATTATAAAAACTCGTCATCAAATAGTCACTAAATATTTAGCATGATGGGAGTTATGCATAAAGTTAGTTAGCCAATAAATCTCGACTATCCCAAACGACAATACTCAAAGAAGTTGTAATTATTTAAGTTTTAAATCCTTGTATTTTACACATGATTAAATAGATAAATAATATAGACCAATGATAATTTTAGCATTTTTTTTAAAAAAAAAAATTATATTCTAAACTTAGTTAACGTTATAGTTAATTGGTTTGATCAGTGATTTAATTGTAGCAGGAAAATAAGAAAAGAATAAATTTTTTTATTAATAATATTTTACTTAATTATGACAAACAAAATGAAATTTAGGCCTTCTCATCTCATTAGAATTATTAAATAACCCAAATAATTGAATTTAAAGCTAAACCCAATTAAAAAAATGAAACTAATTACATTTACTTTACGATATTCTATACTCTTTCAATTCACCTATTTTATTCAATTTTTGTAAATAAAAATTTAAATTAGAGTGATTTTATTTTTTATATGCAGGACACATTATTTTATAAAAAAAATTAGCTATTACTTTTTTAATGAACAACCCATTCTATAACTAAAAAGCGGACTTGTTAATATGGCAATCACATAATTATAATCTTTTAATTGTGATTGAGAAAAAAATCTTTCTTTCTTCAGAGATATGGAATTAAACCCTAAATTATACACAAAAGTATATTATAACTTGTTCATTAAGGTTTTTATTATTAACAAAATTATAATTTTATAAAAAAAGTAAGTTACTTTTTTTTTATGTAAGCGTTTAATTAATCTCAAAATGCATCTTCCTAATAGAAAATCATTTATGATAAATAATTATTTTTAGGCGTACTTTGACATGTTAATTTTATTTTTTTATACTAATATTTACAAAAACTAAAATCTTTGAAAATTTAGCTTACTTTTCTCGAAAAGGTTTTCAAAAAAATTACATTTGAATATTTGGGTCGACTTTTCAGCTACTGTATATATTATATATATACTATTTTAAGGAATCCAAAAGGTTTTTTTTTTGATTTATTGGATTGGATTTGTTCTTTTTGATACAGTTAAATAGACTGATGCAATATCTGAAAAATCGCGTAAACCCATAATGATTTTTCTATTGAGGAGAAAGATCAATTCAAACAATATTATAGAAGACTATATAGTGTGATCAAAATTATCTGAATTCGAACTGAAAAATTTGAATATAAATAATATATTAATAAATAAATTTTAAATTAATATTTTTATATTGAATTTATTATAGAATTTTACAAAAAAAAAATTTAGTATTTATTTTATTTTTATTTACGGTATACTGATGATTAATCTTTTTATTCTGATAGTATGTTTTTTATGCATATTTAACAATCTTTTCTTTAATATTAGATGTTGGGTAAATATAATGATGATTTTTTAGATCCTGGATAGTCTATGTCATGTCAAATACAAAATATCCAGATTTTACAGATGTTACAGATATCTGAATTAAATTAGGAAATCTCTAAAGGCTTATTTTTTTATTCATGAATCGAATAAATATTAATACACAGGATCTAACTGCTTATTTGGAACTTATTTTATCATAATTTAAATAAATAAAAATATGCTATATGTCATAATATGATAAAATTTTCACGAAATGAACTGATCTGCAAAAACTGTTCTATATCGATCAAACGATTTATACCGTATCTAGAGATGGCTCCTTAATTGACTGTTTTCAAATAATATAGTATATATTAAGCAATCAATGGTAATCTCATGAATTTGCATCATAGTTTTAATACTAGTCTTCATTTAGCCTAAACAATATGATTAATTAAGTCGCCTAATACTTTCATTTAATGCTAATTTTTGTATAAAAGTTACTTTATAGTTGCATTCCATAATATATAAGTATTTTCAAAACTGATTTACTTGTGTCTAAGACCCATAATGTTCTCTTAAATAAAATTACCTGATATACAAAAGTAAATTGTATCTTCGTTGTTAATTATAATATTTTTTTTGTAAAAAAATAATAAAAATACCACAATACTTTTGAAGTGATCCAACTCAGATGTGAAGAATCTACAAAGTAAAAAAAAAAATTTACACTTTATCTATCCTTTCCAAAATGATCCAACTCAAAAGAGAAACCTTAAAAAATGTATATTTTAAAAGGTCAAAAATAAATATTTGATTACCTTGACCAGTGATCGTAAAGTAATCCTTTTGTAAAAGATAATTTTTAGAGTTAGTTTTCGATGGTTTCAACATTTTCAATGGCTTCCAATGAATTTTGATAGGTTTAAGCAGTTTTAACAATTTTGATAATTCGATAGTGAAACTAAACAAATATTCAGACATAATTTCAGATTTATGAAATTTTTTAATCTATATGAAAAT